TGGCGTTTATTTTCATGAATACTGTCTGTATTCTCTGTGATGTAAACGTGATTAGGTATCAGGTATATCATCCCACGTGGCTGCAGTTCGTGAGTGAAGACTACATCATCTAGGAGCACATTTTTTTTTAATACCCTTACCATAGTTAAAAGAGAAATTGAATACTCATGTTGCAATCCACACAGACTATCAAGTATGCCGGGAGATGTAACACAAGGAGGAGAAGAAAAGAATGAAGACATTCCCCAAGAATTACTTCAAGTTCAATGCAATGCACTACTTAAAGGGATAAAAAAAAATCCAAAAATCGTTTTTTTATTAGAAGCGCATCTCCAATAGAAGCACATATGAACCAAAAATCGTAAGATACTGAATCATTGAAATATTATTCATTTTTCCCAATGATTTCCATTCCCGTAAATGTATACAATATGAAAATGATCACAACTCAACCAAATGATCAAAATCAATGTCAACAATTAACCAGCCTCAGAACGGTCAGTCGACTGAAAGCGTCTGTTTTTGTACGAATACGCGACAGCATTTTTTAATTGTACGTGTAGATATTCCCACTTTGCACATTCCGGCCGCTGATTTGTATACATTTACCAGTTCCAATCATTTCTTGAACATATGTGAAAAAACACAGACACTTATTTATCAGTGATACATTTTTTTTTCTTAAAAATGACAACAAATTTTCAACACTGCTGGTGTTTTTGTTGTTTACTCTGTCTGCGCAACATTTGTACAACAGAACAGAAGGGGGTGGGATAACGTGGTTTCTGTAACTGAATCAGAAGAGTCCAATAAAGGTTATCAAGAGCATGACAGACAGTGGAAACACTTTAACCTCGATGTTAATGTATTCACCCTACTTCAGTTCCTCTGCTCGGGGAGTGTAGATGATTGCATGATGGAAAAAAACAAACATGGAAATATTTCCACCATCAGGATGAAGTCCGTCAAAGTTTCAGCTTTCATGACTACGTATCATAGTTGTTTTGAAAGCACGGACGAGTATAGAAAATGCATGGACACGCATTACATGCATCAAAGGTGAGAGGAAAAGTTTAAAAAATTGTGTATGAAAGTAAGGGAGGAAAGACAGATTATTATGCAAATTAGGTGACTAGACCCAACACATCAGCGGATTATCCCAAAACATGTATGTACCCCAAATTTCATTGAAATACGATAAAGTGGTTCAAGAGATATTGGCGAATAAATAAATAAATACGCAACGAAAACACATACTTTGGATCCGTAACTAAAGCAACTTACGCAGTGCAAAGCAAATTTAGTCATATACCATGAAAGCAAAAACATATTTCAGGTCAAAAATAACCGAGTTCAGCAAGAGAGATAGAGGGGGTACTGTTTCCTAAGCGCATGCGCTTCTAATAAAGCAAATACGGTAGTCACAATTTGGTGAGAGGTATACAGTGCGTTTTTTGGTCTATAATCATGACTAGAGGTTAGATCAGATGTGAAAATAACCAACGCATCATTGAGTCCGGGTTAATATTAACTCCTGTTAACATACCTCCCATTCTAAAAAAAATAAAATAAATGAAACAGAGAAACAACAAGAAAACTAAAATGAACAACATTGAATTTCCGATTGTTGGCAAAATACTTAACTTAAGTTCAGGTCATTTTGGAATGAATAAAAGTTGGTAGGTGAAGAAGAAGTGATCAAAGAAAATGGAAACTGACCAAGTTCCTCGTGTACACAAAACCCAAACACAGGTGGCTAGCAATATAAACATCCCAATGGCTCACTGACTCAAATACACACAGTACAGAGAAATAATGCATACAAAAGTGCATGATTACAAACCGCTAATATCTTGATTGAAAACTCATGATAACTGTACAATTTCACAGAGAGTAATGGCAGTTGTATGGGACTGGAACATGATTAAATAGACCCCAGTTAAATAGACCCCAGTTTCCATGTGACCAATTTTATATATGCAAACCAGAAAAACAAAACAAAAACAAAAAATTTAATTTCACACTGTTTACTATAGTAAAATCATTTCTCCATTCTATTTTGCTTTCTTTTGTGAAAATAGTTTTCCATTAGGGAGGTTCTCTCCCATAATGCATTGCACATGTGCAGTAACATGCTCAGTAGAACAAAATTTGAATTCGGCTCAAATTCTCTTAATAAGCTAGCACCAACTGGGAAGAAAAATATAACGATCTCCTCGGTGAAGCGGCAGATTTGGATTTACGAGATGATTGAGACCTCTCGGCAATAAGTGCTTGGAGGTAAATCAGGGGGATATCCTGCCATCAGAGTTTCATCTTTAAATCTTTTTGATTAGCTATATCTGATTATATTTCTATCTGATGTATCCATAGCGCAAACTCCACATCCGACGTCAGTTCTGAGAGCCGGGGGAATCAGACTCCCTTCCCAGATCACCTTCCCCCCTCCCTAAATTATCCCCAGTATTAAATGTTTTACAAACACTTCTGTGTACCAATTCTGGCAGATTGCCCAAAACCTGTGGATAGAGCCATGTATTTGATATGCCTGGCGGAATGCCATGCACAGTATGAGCTCGCAAACCCCTGCTTATATTTTACTATATGCTATTTCATGAATGAAACGATAACATGTACGGGACCGTACACACATTATGGATTCATTCCACCTATATATAAATAACCTCAAGCTAGTCGAGTAATGCTACGAGTAGCCAAGTTCTTACCCCACCTCCATACGCATACACATCTTCCTCCATTTTTGAACCATGAAACAAAAACATTATTGCATCACATATAGTAAGTCCAACAACCTGTACCTTGCATATTATAAAATCAGTGATTTCGTAAAATGTGAATTCAATTATTTCCACATCCCTGGTCTTTGATTTGTATGCTAAGACAACCAAAGACTTGATAGTTTTTTTCTAACTTCCTATTGGTTGTTGGCAAAGAGAACTGGCCTGTTGAAGGAACAACAAATGATAACAGGCCAATTGGGGTCAACAAGGTCGTTTCTAATTCCTTCTAAAAAGGTTGAGGAGAATTTACATGCTGGTGTCAAATATCAAGAATGAGAAGAAGAAGAAGATCCTGGGTCCCAGTAAACACTGCCCTCTGGTGGGGACATTCAGAATTAAAAAGGGAGGGTAGATGAGTTGGTATGAAAAATGCAACCTGAAGCCAATTAGGCTGTTAATCTTCTGAAGCACCAAAATTTACTTTTGTCACGTTTTACAAAATAAAAAGTGAATTAAGTTAATGGAAATTTAAGTCCATTTGGTCCAAAATTAACAAGAGCGGATATAAAAAACACCAAAACATGTCGTATGTTTTCGCCACAAAGAGCTGATGTATATATAAAAGTTATCGCGTATGCTCTTCAGCTCTTCATTTTTTTTTAAATCTCGGAATGGAGTTGGACCAGGATAATTTACGAATGTCTGACATATTAATATCCCATATAAACCAAACTCTTTAAAAAAAAAAAAAAATTTTTTTTGCAGTGACTTTTAAGAGACTACCCCCTCCGTAGTTTTCGATATATATTGGTTTTAAGTTTGCGGCATTACGTATTGAATTAATGAATAGGTAATAATTTCAGCACAGACTGAAGTTCTGCCTTGTTCACTGGTTTACAAATCCCATGTCAGATCATTTTCAGTTTTAATATAATAATGACATTCTTGTAAGTTTACATTCCATTTTTGTTTGGCTGGAGAAGAAAAAATAGACAACACTGAAAATGTAACTTTTTATAGTAGTTGAACACACACAAAAAAAACAAAAAGAAAAAAGATCCCGAAAATATGAGGAACAAGTTTCTTATATAAGAGTACCACAACCTTTTGCTCTGTGTAGTGTTTGATATGAAGTACATGCAAAATACAATTCTTGTAATATAGATAATTACAAAAACAAACTTTTACTTGCAGTATAATGTTTCGAAAACGACTCTGTATTAATTTATTTTTATATTCACAGGTTGTATTTCCAAGCTTACCCCGCCACCCCCAAACAAATTTGTCACCCCAACTACATTGTATCTGTTACTGTAGAATAATTTATTTTCGCTTGGAATTTATTTTCGCTATTTTCGCTGAAGGGATGTTTCCGTGAAAATAAAATCCAGCGAATATACTTTTTTTCCTATATTTCACATTAAACTCATCAAAAATCAGTGAAAATAAATTCCACACAAAACGCCCAAAAAGCCTTTTCAGTGAAAATTAATTCCAGCGAAAATAAAGTATTCCACAGTATTTCTGAATTCATCTTCAGTAGACATGAGAAGTCTAAACTGGCAAATCCTTTATTTGAGGTACAATGCCACTCGTGCATTTTTTGACATGTGGACACATTTTAGCATAATACAGTAGTGACAGTCTCAAAAACTGTCTATAATTAATCATTTTATTCAATAGTATGTGGACATTTTTTACTTGTTGTCAATCTGTCTTTTTGAGAGAACATTAACCCAAATTCATTCATACTTTCAGCTTTTTCACCACCAGAATTTCTCACCCAAATTTTTCTGTACTTTTTTCTTATATTCTAATTTGAGTCAATATTCAGTTTTTACTTTAAAAAAATTTTTTTTTGTTCCAATCTTATAAAGGAAATTGCGGACTATAAACATGTGAATTTGTGATGAAAAGAGGGAGCTGGTAATAAAAAGGTTAGACAAGTATCTTGTAAGACACTACATGTCATTTTTCACTCCACGTCACTGACCAGATTATTGAGATTGATCGATTATGTATCCTTGCCATAGAAAAAAAATGATAAAATTCACTAAAACAGGAAAAAAGTTTTTCATTACATTTTGTGCATCAATTTTATTCGAACAAGAGTACAGTATCTCTATCATTTTATTTCATTTTCTTACTCCTTGTATTTTGAAATGTCAAATATGTAAAATAAAAAAAAAATGCCATTATTTTTACTTATGAGTGGCTTTTTACCTTAACTCATCATTTCGATAAGCAGAGAGTTAATACCCTCCATTAGTGGCAGCTAGTTCTCCTTTCCCTTTTCGAATCTGCTTAATAACTGTCAATTCAATAGAAGTGATAAAAAACAAATGAACATCAATCAAAAATAGCTCTTACAAGACATTGCGGAAATCAACGATTCATTTTTTTAATGAGTATCACCAGGCTAGACCGGTTTTTATGCCAGACCTATGTACTTTTCAAATTATAAAAAAAAATCTCTTTCGCCAACAGATAAGTTAATAAATAGAAAAAAAGACTGCAAGCACTGTGGTCGTTAAATAGAAATGTTCTTTCAATAGTTCCTCAGAACAAACACAAAGACACAGGTTGCCTGAAGGGACAATTTCAGATCTAAATACAAATCGCCAATATTGTGGTTTTCATACAAATACACGGTAAATCAATTTTTCCCCCCTATTCACCAAATTGTCTTCTTTTATATTGGTCTGCTGGTTAACGGAGCATTACTCACCAAGATGCTGACGAAATATATACCAGTATATATACCAATGTAAAAAATATATCTTTCCCCTATGTATGTATGTATGTATGTATGTATGTATGTATGTATGTATGTATGTATGTATGTATGTATGTATGTATGTATGTATGTGTATTTAACACATACATACAGCCTCAAATGACATTTTCATTAATACTCTGTCAGTGAAACTTGACATCTTATTGTGCCTCCACCAACTAACCAACCATCCAGCCACACTCATTCTACACCACTATCTCATCTACAGTGCATCCATAACCTATCAATCCAGTTTAAAAATTTATGACAAATCAAACCGGGGCTCAGATTTGATTTGTGATTTTAATAACTAGATGAAATCGCAGTATGCACAGCAAGTATAATACACCGCTCAGTTTGTTTTATTATCTCGGTGCTGAATTATATAACGTTCAATTTTTAACTTCATGAATTTTTCATATGTCTTTGTAGTAAACTCAGAATGGGGTTAATTGAAGCAGCTCAGTAGTCACTCGGTGAATTGCTATTTGGCTTTCTGGTGCTTTGTCCCGATGCGCCTAGGGATATGGTCGGTCAATTATTCCAGCTGAAATTATCTTATCATATTCGTATGTTATACATTGTCGGAAACAAAGTACAGATTTAACCAACGTCAATTTATTGCACTAATAAAAAACTCTCTCATCATTTACCCAAATGTATAGATAGAATAAACACAACACATACAGTTAGTAGTGTCCACAGTTTCCCGAACAATTACTCAAATTCATTTTTGTTTGCAAGCTCAGTCTGATGCCAATTTCCAGACTTCTTGTCTACCACAAGCACTTATTAATCCCTCAGAATTGGAATAAGTACTAATATCGCTCAGCATGAAAGTGACATGTCATTACCTAGAGAGCGTCCTCTTTAGCTTTATCCTATGATAGGATGCTTGCCATGTCACGGGGGTCCACGACAGAGCCATCATTTTGATTTCTGTCACTACGCAGCAGGGGTTGAAACATTACCATCAAATGAAGTCACATCGAGTCTACGTTGGCAGAGATTAGAGTAATAATATTGGCAAATTTGTAACGGATGCCCCTCCCACCAATACAAGGAATAAATATAATGACTTGTTTCGCAGTTAAGTGAGACAAGAATTTGAAAAAAATGCTTTTTGAAAATTATATTGATTAATTATAATAACACTGCATGCTTGAGTGAGTTTAATTATTTAAGGTTAAGTTAATTTAGCTGCGTTACACAGGTCCCAAAGTGATATGATGGAGAGAATGAGAAAGACAGGGATTTTGCCGATATTAATTTAGTTCCACTGATGATACACAGTTCGGTTTCCGCTATTGCCTCGGGTGACGTCTTAAACTTCAAAGCGAATAAAGTTCTCGCATTCAGGGAAAAAAAGTACATACAGGTTTGTCATGAAGAGTAATGAAAAAAAGTAATTGCAAACATAAACACGAACATCATTCAGGAGGTGGACCTGGTGGGAGAATATCGAGGATAGATCACTAACGTCACCACCAATCATAAAATATTAATCATAAAGATATCTGAATTGATGAACTAGCAATCTACAAGTAGAAGGCAGTGATTTTGAAGTAGCAATCCAAGACAATGAAATATGAAGGCTCAACCCTAATTTCAGAAAATAACAATTACAAACCTAAAGTTTAGATGGATTTAGTATAAAATGGAGTTGGTTGAGAACATTTTCATCACCAGAGCTTTACTACCAGCTTGGTAACTTGTACTTTGGGTAACTTTAAGCGCTGTATTATAAGGCAATGGTTAACAACATTGTTTGAGGATGTTCGAGGACAGACAAGGCATGCAAAGCATATTTGTAATTTTAGAGCATCAATATGGTGTTCATTCATAAATCAATAAATTACAGAATATAATTATGATACACACTTCGGTAAATTTTTTAAAAATAAACAATGATTATGATACCCTTATCATTGAATTAATAGCTCAAATATTCTGATTTTTTTTTTCCAATAATTCATCTAAGAAATGATTTGTATACTGTGATTACTCGCAGTAATTGCATACATTAGCCAACACAGAGATGAGAATAACCTGAATACAGCAACAATAGTTTTCTGTAAAATTGTTATTGTTGAATCCAACAGTTTGTACACTTTAAGTGAGTCATGCTAGGATAAAAATGAGCCAAGACATCAAATTGGGAGCCAGGTGGGGGGGGGGGGGGGGGTTATTGTATATTGATCTAATTAACAAGAAAAGAAAAAAACACCACAATTAGTTAAGTTAGAGTCAAGTTAAAAACAGTAACTGAAGACTAAAGCTTTGATTTTCACATTTGAATCCAGCTCAAAAAACAAAACAAGAATTATACTGAATGAAATTCTAAACAGTATTAAGGAAGGCTGAGAAGAGAACATTGGAAAGGGAGGTGTATACCTCTCTCATATATCATAATTGAAATCAAAAATGATATTGGGATAATATTTCCCTTTCAAGTACCCCGGAACATTTAGCAAAGAACTAAACTTCATCACGTACATAACTGCATTAATTTTCAAGACTTGTTGTTGTTGAAAAAGCTAAAAATGTTGAAAAGTGATACAAGATCCATACTAGAGTGGAAAAAAAATTAAGTGCATTGAACAAGGAGTGATACCTGATACGCTTGTTCATTCATAAAAAAAAAAGCTAAGCTAGCTGTACAGTTAGATAGATTTGTGGTGATATCAAATGTCTATATCAATAAGTCTTAGTGTTAGTGGCACTGCTGTTCAATAGGGCTGTATCAAATGATTGAGCATCTATCAATGTGCTTCCTACTACAACCACTTTAATCGCTAGAGGAGCAAATTTTGTGGTTAAATGTATTGTACACTGTGATTTGCTTTTTTCTTTCCTTGTTTCCTTTCTTCGTCTTCTGTTCCTGTGAGGGATGATGATTGGTGTTCAATCGGATATATAAAGGTAAGGTAGGGTTTAGTTCTCCTGAACCACTGTGGTTAAATGCATATATACGCATTTTTATTTGATTATAGGATGGGAATCAGATGAGGAATCTAGGGAAAATGTACAGGAGATGTGTAGTCTGTAATAATACAAATGATTGTGGTTCAATCAAAGCGATATAGCATTAAAAAAATATCGTCCTCCCGCAAACGCGATGACTCTTTCTCTTTCTCCTCTTTCCCCGTCAAAAAAGTTAATTTGTCTTACCATAATCATTGTTATAACATTACAAAAAACAGATGGTACATTCGTCATCTACTCCAGTTTGACAATATACACAACTACAGTCTGAAAAAACAATATTATTTCAATAGCACTTCTACTAATGGAGTACCCTCTTTGCGGTTAGCGTGGCGGAAATCCAGTTGATTTTTCTACTAAATAAAATGACCAAAAAAAGAAGGATTATCCTCAATGGACACTTGTATGTAATTCTAGAATTTGGATATTTGTTTATAACCATAGTTTTATAGCATTCAGTCTATTGTTTTTTTTTTTAGTCAGCTTGAAAACTATGTTCAGCTGTGTAACAACTATTATTTGCTAACACAGGCGTTACTTTTACACAAGCAAGCGGATACAAGGAGTATCAGATGTTATTGGAACGTTTGTACTGAATGACTTTGTGTAAAACATTTTGTACACTTGAAAAGCGCACCTGCATTATTAAAATTATGATGTCAATTCTGCAATATTTCGAAGCAGCACACATAATAACCATTTTTCATTTTCTTCTCGCTGTACTTTAGTGGCAAGAAAAATATACCGTAGTGTCGGCAGATTTTTATTTGTATCAGAAAAACAGTTTCAATTTTAATATCGATATTTTAAAATCTGTAATTATCAAAAAAATTAACTTCAACATTACATCATTGGGTTGAAATAGAGTGGATAAATGCGATGATAACAGCTTAATAATGTATCTGTGAACCATAATCCTTGGTTAGATATCACTGAAACAATTGTCAACAGTGGCAAGAACCGCAATACTGCACTACGGGAGAACAAAGGATATAGGACAGTTACACAAAAGATCAGAGCAAAAAATCAGAGACCGTGTCATGTACATGTCAGAGAGATAAACTCTGAGGCCCTTAGTGGGAAGACAGGCCATCATGAAGTGTCTAGTAGATTACTAAATAACAAGACAAACGTGAACTGAGAACCAGTCAACTGTGTCATGATGAAAAAATAGCCACCAAATAACATAATGGTTCCCATTATACACCACACAATGAAAACCCCATCTTTGGGAAACTCTATCCTACCAGGTTTTTTTTTCTCTCACTGTTCATCATTTAAAATTACTTTTAGGACTAATTGATGCAGACAGAGGAGTCTATTTCCATTATGTATAAAACAAGGCACAAGCAGTCGCTGCGTGAATGAAGCCATCATACTGGTAGATACGAAAACAACTCTAAGCTGCAGGGGACTGAAGATCCAAGCAAATAATGAATACAGTACCCTCTTATATAATCAGTTGATTATTTTTTGGTTAAAGTTAAAAATACCAGCTATTTATAGGGTTGTGGAGTTGCGGAAAGTGCCGAAGAAACCAACATGATCAC